CCTTTTCAACTGTTATAGCGCCACCTAAGGTTCCATCTCCATGAATGTTTGCATGGTTGTTAAGAGTCATCTGACACATGTTTTCACCAAGTTTCATAAAGTTTTGAGTTTTAGTTGAGGTTTTATAGGCTTTTGGGTATATCTGGCCACACCCCTTTTAGAAATGACCCCGTTATAGCTAACCGAAGGTCAAAATTATTATTTTTTTGATAATTATTGATCTATAGAGTCCAGAGAATATTACTGCAGTGGTTTGATCGAGATAGAGCGAAAAACCTAGGACTAGTTCGCAAAAGTAAGTTTTTAACATATTTGTGAATATTTAATGAACGATTTGATTGACAGCATTGGTCCCAGAGGCAAAGTTGTTGAAAATGAGAACATCTATCATATGATATGAAGATCTAGGGTTTTTATGAATATATGTACATTTTCTGTAATTTGAGGTCATTTTCTATACAAATATTGTATTTTTGAGGCCTTTTCAACTGTTATAGCGCCACCTACTGTTCGATCTTCATGAAACTTTGCATGCTTGTTTAGTGTCTTCTGTCACATGTTGTCACCAAGTTTCGTAAAGTTTGGAGTTTTTGTTTAGGTTTTATAGGCTTTAGGGTATATCTGGCCACACCCCTTTCCTAAATGACCCCGTTTTAAGTAACCAAAGGACAAAATTCTAAATTTTTTTGATTTTCAAACCGATCGTACCAACGGTTGCCTAGTTATAGCTGTTTTTGTGTTTTTTCTGTCTTATAGCGCCACCAAGTGGCACAGCTTCGCATTTTTTTTTATTTGACCAAAGATTGAGCTTGTACACATGTATACCGAGTTTGGTGAAGATATCTCATTCCATTCAAGAGTTATAGCTAAAATAACATTTGGCTAACGTTAGCATAGACGTTTCTTTGCATGCTGTTGCGCACGAAAATCGAAATTTCAACTTTTTTTTGATAATTATTGATATTCAGTGTCCAGAGAATATTTCTGCAGTTGTTTTGTTCCGATCGGGCAAAAAACCTAGGACTAGTTCGCAAAAGTAGGTTTTGGACATAACTCAATTTTGCGGAAAAACCGTGCGTCGTAGAGTAAAATTACCTGTCAATAAACTTTTTTGTTGGGGCTGACCCAAGGATCGCAATGATGTAAAATGGTTGAGTCTACGACAAATGGTGTATGAGCTATGGCCAAAAATGTCTGAAATTTTAGTTTTTTGCGCTGTAGCGCCCCCGTTAGGCC